TCTCACGTCGCCTGCAGTTAGATTCTAAAGGCACTGTATCGATTAAATATAATCCGGGTATTTTCTTGTCAAACTAATGCGACCTCTATTGTTATATCAGCGACCCCTATTGTTAAATTTGATGGTTGATATTCAAGGGGGATAATTGGACATAATATAACTATAATGTATTCACCTTTAATGAAGTGAGGTATCAGATTGTGAGGGGGTCTAATTGAAATGTGTAATTGAAATGTGTAAAGTAGTTGAAATTATGACCCGGCTTCTGAAATGTGGAACATGGAAGTAAAAATACTGAAGAACATAGTGATAAATATACAGAACAACCAAGAAGAAAATGACAGATAGAGATCATGTAGCTGATTTCATGTTCATTCTTAACACATTTAGTTTTTGTACAATATTGTATCAATTTTGAACCCTTTTGAGTAAGGCCGAGGGTCTGAATGTTAAAATGCATGATGAGATACATGGAACTGAAATCAGACTATTAAAGAAGACAATAAGGAGATTATAGAAAATAATTCTATCACTTGTTAACAGATGTTTTAACGTGAATTTTATCTTCGAATTACATTGATTTTTACTTTAAATCTTTTTCTAGTCATTTCTCACGTCTTGTCTAAATTGACTTGAAACTTCCTATCTTAGAATTCAGGTCTTATCATACAACAACTGACTACAATGTCTCAAACTGAGAGAAATAGTTCACTCCTTGTCAACCTCATATGAGTTTTATGTTAAATGCAGTTGTTCTGTAGACACATTGTCATGACTTGTAATAATAATTGCAAAAATAAAAATATTTTTTTTGTCTCTGTGAGCTTTCAATCGTTTGCCATTATCGAACATTAATATATAGAAGGTGATCAACCCAAGAACAAGACAAGAGATGAACATTCTTCATAATGATTTATTAGCCATTGAAAACATAATGTAATATATATTTTTTAAACAACCTATTGCACGTGCAAACAAACACGCGCATATACATAACTAGACACATGTTATGAAGAATTAATCTTGCATACTAACAATAACACTGCACCATACATGCCTTGCCCATTTCACATCATTTCATAACATTTAAATTCAAATACAGATATCAAATTGAAGGCTCAACAACAAATATTATCTTTACAATACAGTATATTCTCAAATAAGCAATTTGGCGATTGTAGTTGTATAAGAAACTTTGTACTGATCGTTTCAATTTCGTGGTTTACTGATCAAAATAATAATAATTGTACAAATTCAAACAGAAACCAAAATGAAACTCAGACTAGAGAGTGAATAGAAATATACAAGATAAAATATTATATACAATAACAACAAAAAATATAAAATTTACATAATACATAAATACATTATAAATTTACCCTTTGGACCATTTGTATTGATTTGCTTTTCGGATTCACAATGTTAAAGGGATTGTAAAGAGGTTTTCTAAACTGAATAGCATCAATTTGAACCATTCCAATTTTCACTCTGACATCTGTGGTTCTTGCAATTCAAGTAAAACTAACGCGTTTTATGACGTCACAAGAGGGGAACTGCATAGATATCAATAGTAGTTTTCCTCTGTATGCATTATCGAAGCTTTTAGGTTTTCCAATCCAGTATTTATTTTGTAGGTTTTATCCAATTGTAATTAAGGTCTAAATTTTAGACCATATTAATTCAATTACTATAAACATTGATCCTCACTCAATTACACTCTCACATTACCTCTCCTTAATACCACCATTTGTCAAAAGGTGGCGCTAACATCTAATATCGTTAAGCCCACTTCACATCAAATATTGTATAGGATTAACACACTCCGTCGTAACTAAGAGGCAATCCATCATATAAACCTCACCTTAATAGGGCCTCTTTCAGACAATTAATCAGTTATTTTAATTAATGTACACAGTAAACTGATGGAAAGTATCTGTGAAGGTGGAATATGTCAACAATTGTGATAAATAGAAAATCCTAGTTGTTAAGTCATCTTCAATTCACATTATCAATCAAGAGGAACTCTTGGTGGACAATATAGTTGAGAATACGGATTGATATTTGGAGGTACAGGATTTGAATTAGGGGAAGATAATGGGTTAATATTTGGTGTAAAGGCAGAAGGTTCTTGTCTCATCATACCACTGTTATTCAATGAGCAACTTGACATTGATGAATATGTATTTTGTCTATTGTTACTTACACCCATATCACCCCATAATTGATTATTACTCAGTTCTTTCATGTCATGATTTTGGTCATTTGATACAAGACCACGACCCATGGGTGGAGGTAGAAATCCAGCTTTAGATGTTGCAACGTGAGCTAATGACCATATTTTAGGCCGCATTCCATTTTCCAAATTATGAACATCACTATAATTACAGTTTACGTCACTCAATCCAGAATCGTTGCTGTTTGAACATAGAGAGTCTGGGCGCTTCGTGTCCATTGGTGTGGCACCAAGATTTTGAGTTCTTATACCTGACTGTGCAGCACCCATAGCTGTTCCCACTAGCGAGGATGACGCCAACGAGAGGTTACCGGAACAGGAAATTCCGCCATTTATAGGTTTGTTAGTATCTTCATGGAAGAGTGAAGAGTGATCATTGTGGGTTACAGAAAAACTAGGTGTTCCTAAAATGAGAAAATGTTATTCATAATCATAATGTCACTTAAACTACACAGTCATTATGTATCTAAAATGGCCTTATAAGGACAAAATATATATTTGTATTTCCAGTTTTGGTTTCCTACTGCAATGCAACATGACAAAACATAAAATGATACTTTGGTAATATAACCAAGATATGCCCTAAACTAAGGGACTCGCACCAAGTTGTCATTTCAGTTGCTGAGCTGTTCTAATAAGACTCCCTGGAACTGTTACAGTACTATGAGTCCAAATTGTGTTATGGTGTCACCAAGTGTGTAATATGGAATTGTTGGACCCATAAATAAGAAATAGTTACAAAAATAACTCGTAAACCATTGTAAAATACAGTGAAACACTAGTTATCTCATAAACAACATCTTAACTATAGCTTATGTCAGACTAGATGGCGCTTTTATCTCTAAGGTTATTCTTACAGGTCAAAGGTTACGCGTACCAGTTAAGGTACTAAATAGTTTGTTTTATTTTTATCTACATAACATGATCATAACTTATTATATTTTGTGGGAAAATTTTTCCTTCTGAATATCAAGACACACTTAATATTAAATATCATTTCTACATATAAATGTGACAAATTTATGACGAACCAAAGCCACAAAAATTCTAGAAGTGGGTGTAAACGAATTGTAGGAAGAAAGGAATAGTGATAGTGATTTAATTTTGAGCTTCTGAAACAACTACTTCACTTTTTAGAACATTTTTAGACAAATTGGTAGTCTATGGTCCTTGAGTTTGAGAAAAAGGCATTTCCGGTTCAAATGTTTAGTAATATAGATTGTTAAATATAAATCACTGACTGACTTTTAACTCCTTCCTTGGAGATTTGCTCAATCATCACTTGTTATTGAATTTTCCTCTCTGTGACTTGATCAACTTTATAGAACAATATCTTTAATGTTAATATGCTAATTACAGACTAGTGGCTTTTAATAACTCGAATTAAAATCTTGTTTTGTGTCAAGGGAGAGAACTCAGTCGACCTGATAATTGACGATAATAGAAGGTTACACACTCGTCTTTATCATGTCTTCAAATGTGCCTAATAAATGGTTTGGAATTAATAAATACCGTAAAGTGGCCTTTAACTTCATTATACATGAGTAACGTAATCAGCAGAACAACATAGAATATCGTTTAAGAGAAATGGCTAGAGAATAGAGAACCATTCTTCACTAATATTGATTACACGTAGTTCAAATCTTACAATTTATTCCAACTCCAATACACAGTCGTGTCTGACAATATTTTAGCACTTTTTATTATTGTTAAATAGAATTCAGTTTCTATCAAATTGCTAATCTGGTTGTAAAAATATTGTTGGTTTGTATTTCCGAATTTTACGCCGATTTGAATATTATGGACATCGAAGCTTTACGTTTCATTTCAAAAATTGATTTTTATGTTGTTTTTGAAAGAAAAGCTTCTCAGATCAAGTTCCCTCTTCTCAATCACCCGGAGGTCATTCGATATATCCCATACTTTAAAACCATTTTTCAGTTATGATTTTTTGTTTTTAAATTTATGTTAATTTACTAGAAATGTTGCTGAGTGTAGTTTATCTTCACGTACCTGTTGTCGTTTACCCCAGTCTTATTCAAATGACAGGTGATTAATTACAACTATACTAAAAGGGGTGACAGTTTGATAGAAGAGCCAGGTATAATTGTCATCTGGTCCACATAGCTATCCTAATTTGGACAAACTAGCATAAATTTTGATAAATTTGTGTAAAGATTTGGGTAAATATTACCTAATTTCATTCAATAACTACTTACTGTCAATTTTCTATGATACTTTAACACGGGTATTTTTCATTTCATTTTACACATTTTATTTTAAAGTGAAGATCTTAGATTTTATTGTACCCGAAATCTTTTTTAGTGCCGTTCACTGCCATTAAGATTAATATAAGTTTTCTGGTTATTTGTCAATGTCATTCGATGTTTGTTTTGGAATAATGTATGTTAATATCAAGGAATTAGGTTTGCAAGCGTACTATTTCATTCCATTCCTAATTTATCATGAATAAGGAGATTTACGACTTTTTTGGCAAATTAGACCCTAATCTTTTGTCAAAATGCAATATTCATATTGAGGTTAAAGAAAACCTCTAGAAACAATTACAAACAATAAAATACATTTTACTATTGATTTTTAAAGTGTTCGAACAAAACTACGGGATAAACACAAGCTGGCCAAGATACAACAGAAATGATAATAAAGTCTTACCCACTGGTGATTTACATTCTTCTTTTAAATTTACTTCATCTTTTTCTTTGTCATCGTCGCTATCCCCTTTACTTTTATCACCATCATCATCGTCATCATCATCATTATCATCACCAGATCTGTTTCTTGGTGACCACGTCATTTTATTCTCCTTCTTCAGTCGTCTTCTAGCATTAGCAAACCATGTAGAAACTTGAGTTAAAGTCATTTTGGTGATGATGGCTAACATAATTTTTTCACCTTTGGTAGGATAAGGATTTTTCTTGTGTTCGTATAACCAGGCTTTTAGTGTTGTGGTATTTTCCCTAGTAGCATTTTTTCTTCGTGTAGCGCTATTGAGGTCTACACTACCGTACCTGAAACCATATACAATATACAATTATTGTAATAATATTAATTACATTGCATTTATATCTTTAAAAATAATGAAAGTTTTAATGAAAAAAATATTGTGGCACGTATCTTAATATGCTTAGAATCTTTTCACACCTATCATTTTTTATCTCTGATTAATACAACAAATTTTGAAAATCAATTTTTGAAATTAGAGATAATGAGATTCAAAAAAAAAATCAAATAAATCTATCAAATTTTAAACGGAAATCATACGTTTTGCTCTCCGCATTAGCTGAAAATGTATATCGACTTGCACCATAGCAGGTTTCTTTTGAATTCAAATTATCTTCAAGATAGCATGGCAGTAAGAGGCTAGTAAATAAAAGCCTCTTGATTTATTTATTTATTAATTTACAGGTAAGATATTAGGTATTTATCAGCTTGTTAAAGTTTATTAAAATCACGTATTTTAACTCCCACCACTGTTAAATCAGATTAAATTTAAGTGGTAGATAATTGTTAGAATTTGAAATAGAATAGTATTATCACTAGTTTATTGACACGAGTAAGATTGTCAATATTATGACAGTTATTAAAATAAATATCCTATTATTAACTGTCATATTTCAAACATATCTCACAAAATTAACTTGAAATGCCTCTTGCACACTTAAAACGTCAAAGAATTTACATTTTCTTGAATCTCTAAACAATCTTCAAGACTGCAATGTTTCAGTGTAATATTATTCTTTATTGATTTTGAATGTTATAAAAAATATGAACACAAAACCATTATCATTACAGACAATATTTCTTTCAAATGCGCCGGATTTATAAAAATTAAAAATTTTCTTTGAGAATAAAGGGAGCAATTCAGAAAACCGAAAGTGAATCTATTTAAATGCTGTAGCTCTAATATTCAATAGATACCACAGTAGGAATCTGTACGATTATCTTGCAGATTATATATCAATCGCATTTTATTCCTTTTAAAACGTGATTTAAAAATACCGGAAGTGAAATGAACATTCAAGAAGTCGAAGGATGGAATAATGTTTAATGCAGCTTCCTAGACCAGACCATAAGTATTGGAAATGTAATAATTTCAGACACATGATGCTGCATGGCGTTTATGTCCCAAAATATCCGTTTACATCGTTGCAGTATAAAAGCTAGAGTTTAACAGAAAATACTTACGCATTAGAATAAGGAAACGAGGACATTGGTGTATCATAAGGATAACATGGTGCTGGTTGATTTATACCTCTCCATGATTCACCAGCATCTTTTATATCATAGTGGCCATTCTGTTAACAAAATACAATATCATTGAACATTGAATCAATTCATTGACCTTTCTTTACAAAATTTAAAAAATCATATCTTAAATCTTTCGATGGCAATAATTTGTTGCTGGTAATCCAGAATTTGATAACCGCCTGTTGAACTGGGTTGAATTCCAGACTTATTAACGAAACTGTAAAGAATAACAACTAGAACCCTTAGCCAGGACTCCATATATTGGTTTGACCATTGAATTACAAATTCGATTGTTTCAGATATAGTTACGCGGAAAATTGAAATTTAATTTAGAGCTCCATGTTGTGTTATATAAAAACACCTGTACAAGTGTCTACATCTATCATTGTCATCAAGTCGTATTTAAACACTTCACCTAACGTATGATTGAGAGTGATAGAATATATGCACTTGAACTGGTAATCAACACACCCCGGGGTTATTTGGTCACTGAGATTTAATTTTATAAACTTTGATCAATATCAAGCAATATCTTCCTTTCAAAATCATATTCTGTCAGTCAATAAAGCATGATAGACTAAATCATGCTAGATTGAGATGGTACTGGGTGGCGGCTGGTGTTACTGGTATATCAGCATCAACTTCCGGTTGTTAATGTTTAACATTTACCTCTTTAAATGCACACAATAAGAGAACACATAGATAAAACTGTCTATTTCGAAACCAAGGAGTAGAGAATTGATCTAGTTGTCCAATAACGAACATAACTTACCAAAGGGGGGTAAAATGCTGATGGATCAGCACCAAGAGGCATATAACCCTGACTAGCATAAGCGGAGGTTGGGTACACTGAATCACCCAATGCAGGAACTCTGGGATAAGATAATAAACTTGAAGTGTATTGACAGGAGCAGACTGGTTGACCGGTATGTGGATTAGTCCCGATTGTTCTGCCGTTTTCACAACATGAGTTTGACATGGTAGATGTAGGTGTGTTACTATTCATGAGGAGCTGCAAAGAAAGAATTGTATCCTTTATTTCAAAACCCGAAGAGCTCTGTGTTGTCTGGAAAAATATATGATTCATAGTACAAATGTGCACCAAAGTTGCCTCGAAATGATGCTTTAATCTAAGGTATTTATTTAGTTTCATTCACTATCCCAATACTGTATAAAATAATGGGTGGTTTCTATTGTTTCCAAATGCCACTTGAGTTCAAATCTTAAAAGTGGTAAATACTTGTATCTAAGATAAATCATGTTTACTATCCAGATGCTACTTGTAACCAAATGAGAATAAAAGAGATAAAGGGCAGATAACCCCAAAGATACCTAAAAGATGGCTTAGATAAACAAAGTCTTATTCTACTTAAATTATTCTTGATTATTTTAGCATGTGTTTTACAAATAGTGATAAACTGGAAAAATTTCGACAAAATTTTACCCTATAGTAGCGTCTCACGACTACTTCAAAATGCAAAATGAACTGAACAAAATACTATAATTAGTATAACAAGTATTATACAAGAACGTCGTAAACCTATAAACTTAACCTTGGTACCAGCAGGTCCAGAATGAACATCTTGTTAATAAAATTTATAAGCTTCTGTATATTATGTAATTTTTACCAGAGGCTAAGAATATTTTAACTCCGCATTTGTCTCAATATCTTTCTGGAAAATTGATGATGTCTAGATAATCGTGTTTATTATTATGCCAAAATAGACATAGGCGTCATTATAATTGTACTCTTGAATTGTGTGTATGAAGTTTTTATTTACTAAAGTCTCTGATCTTATGTTTTAAAAGTAATGTTTCCTCCATGAAATTGTAGAAAGAGAGTTTTTCTTGTGTTAAAACATTATGGCTATTGATTAACACTGACATTATACCTCTATTACATCTTATTTCACTTACATTTACCAGTTTATTTTTAGATTGATTGTAGAATTTCTAGTTATTACCTTAACATCAATGTTAATATCGTTTTAAAACCGATTATGACACACTTGACAAAGGGTATAATGGTAGTTCTTCTCCTTTTTATGTCTACTAACACCATTTATACAGTCAAACCAATAAAATTGTTCATGGTATAGAAATGATATTTAAGGCTCATTTCATTTTTATAATACAGGTTCAGAGCTTTATAATTTATTGTCAAATATATTTTGGTGCAAAGCTAAAATTTTCAAGTTTATTAGCTCTAGTACAAGTGTTAAAAGAATGTCAACTACTTTATTGTGGTAAAAGCCAATAGTTTAGATTGTGTTTAATTGAAGTGTCTTCAATTTACAATATTTAATCAATATCACCGTTCAATATTCTACCCGTAAATTAGATCTAATCCGTAATATTTTCATTGATTTTCTCTTGTGGTTGTCGTAAATATGAAATGATAAACCAATGTCAAAGTGTTGTTTTAATGTGATTAAACATTTAGATTCGGATGGTTTTTAAGTCGGGAGTATTGATAGGTCTGTTCAGAAAATAAACAACAGCATCCGACGGTCAAGTTAGTCAATTTCTATAACTTGACAGGATATATTTCAGCAGTCAAGGCTCTTGCGACTCTTAATTGTGTAATTTTTGATAACCGAATGCATAATAATCCTACTTGCAAGGCTGTACACAGATCAAAGATTTTTTGTAGGAGAGTTGTTTATCGCTCTCACCAGTTGATTTAAGCTAATACTTGTATTATACAGCTCATTTCTGCATAATAGGCTTTTAAATAATTTTAATAAGAATTTATAACACAAAGAAAATATGTTCTGAGACTTTTCCGTCATGAAAATCCTTAGCAATAATATATCAACATGCACATAAAAATAAAAACGCCCCATGATTTATTTTGAATAGTAGAAGTATCTAATGCTTGGATAAATAAACAGGAGGTTTCTATAAATATCAACAATCTTTTAAACGAGTTATTAATTAATTAACCTGCAGGTTAAAGACACTTAAAACGTCAACTTTTTCACATGTCATAATTAACTGAATTTATTTTCAGTTTATTAAAATATTTTGGTGTAGAAAAACATCAAGGCTAAAAGTGAGGTGAATAAAAACAAACTTTAAATTTGAACACGATTTGTAACTCTGATAATTTAGTCTAGTATAGTGTTATTCAATACCAAAGTAGAAATAATTTTCAGTTTGACTTTATTTTGATAAGTAAATGAAAATATTTATAAGATTGAATTGATCCATTCAAAACCGATATGGCGTCGTTTATTTTCTTAGAGTAATCTGAGAAGTTCTTGAAATATCACTGTAATTGCCTTCATTTAAAACCTGTGAAAATATTGGACTTTATTTAGCGGATGTAATTCAGTTAAAGGGGGTAAATTAGTTGATTAATTTCTTTCGACTTCTTTCCGAATTCTGTATCAATTTATTGAACTCGTCGGTCTTTTAGTGGTGAAAGCATTCTAATTCTAAAATTTTATACCAAATGAGCTCGATTCTAGTACTTCCGGTCTGTGTTTCAAAATTTAAAATTAGAATTGAAATTTCAAATTAGAATATTACTTAATAAGAAAAAAGCACAATCAGTAGTATTTTAACTATTTGATGACATTTCTCATCTTGCTCCAAGATACTTTCCTTGAAATTATCATGGCACCTTCAGTATACTAGTACATGTAAATGATCTTAAGCTTGTATAGCCATTATATGTTGACGTAAAATATTTATCTTTTTTCATTTCCTAAATATACAGCTTTAAACATATACGTGTCTTTACCTTTGAAAATAATGCATGGTTAAGCTGGTTTCAAAAGTTTAAGGATTTGTGATGAAGACTATTAGATTAACAAATCTTCGATTTAATTATTAAAGCCTTTGCCCCATTTAAACTTTTATTCAAAGTAAAGCAGAATAGCAGGAATTCATTTCCTTTCTGTAATAGAGACCTTCATGGCTTTTCAGGATTACAGATGTTGCGTTTCCCAATTATAAATCTTTAGAAATAATATATCTTTTTCGGATTTATTTATTACAATTTTTTTTGATATGATACATGATCATTGTAACAACAGGTGTTATTTTAAGCCAAATAACAAAAATATTAACCAATAAATCTTAAAAGAGATAGATTTATATTCACAGAGTTGATCTGTATGTCATTCAACTGTACGTTTCATGTGCACTTTTGGTCACAAGTGCAAGGGTTGGGTCATGACATTCATATGCAATTAGTAAATGTGGAGCTCATTGAAATGAATTGAGTTTTTCATCTTTCATTATAGCATATTTTTGTTATATTTTTAAGCCAAATGCATGGTTGCTCGGATTTATTATTGTGTTGAATGGAATAACACTATCATTGTAATAACTAAAATATAATATTGAGTTTTATAATTACTTGTTATTAATGACTGAATTACAATATTCTTTGACTTTAATAATTTGGTCGAGTGTGAAAATTCCTAAGATTGTAAAATACAACATAGTAACATTATGATTACATGTATATGGTAATCGTGGCAGAATCTAACAATTACTTAAACGTAAAAATTGTAACTAAATTGAATTCTAATATTGGTCGATTTGGACAATTTCCTATTGTAATATTTTAATGGCTGAAATTGTCATGACTGAATTGCAATATTGGGAAAGTCCAATAATTACTTGAATTGTAATGACTGTATTTTGATATTAGTTGATCTTTATTTGATTGCTTGAATTGTTTGAGTCCAATTTTTAAATAACTTTTAACCAAATTTGTAAATTTTAATTATTTAAATCAAATTGTAATATTAGACATATAACTACTGGAATTGTTATGACTGAATCGTACAGTTATACACAATAAACTAAATTGTAATGACTGAAATATTATATTGTTTGAGTCGAATGATTACTTGGATTTTAATGACTTAATTTTGATTTGGTTTTATCTGTCTATTACTTTTATTGCAATGATTTTATTATGATCGATTTTGATAATCGTCTGGATTAGTCTGGTATTGGATGATTTTGACAATTGGTATTGGTTGAA